CCGGCAACCAAGGCCGCCCATCCAGGAGGTGCTGGGACCTGGCCAGGTCCCGGTGGAACCCCGCTTCCTGGAGCAAGAAGAAGCCCCTCTCACAGTCACCCCGGAGCGGCTCCCCCAGAAAAGGTGAAAACAACTCCACCAACCCACTGTGCTGTAAGAACAAAAGAGCGGTCAGCAGGTGAGCGGCGAATGGGTGGCCGTGAGCCGGACCTGCTGGTCTTCACTTGGGCCCAGTGATGGTCAAGGCAAGTTGGTGGCAAGAGGACGGAGGAGACCTGGGAACTGGACAGAGGAGGCTGGCCCAGCCCCTCCGCCCCCCCCAACCCCAGGAGCCAGGAGGGCCCCTGGGCTGGCTGGACCACGCCTCCCGCCCCCCCTTGCTCCCTGATGCCCCAGTGCACACCCCCAAGCCAGGAGGGGCCTGGCGGGGGTGCGGGGGTTCATCTTGCTGGAGGGCTTTGCTGTGGGGCTAGCAGGAGGCTAGCGCCCCACTGGCCCCCTCACAGCAGCTGCAGCTTGTGGCTCTGTCAGGTTTTTGTTTTCCTTAAATGGACCCCCAAATCCACAAAACCTGGATTCACCTGGGGGGGGGAGGGAAAACCACCAACGACAACACAAAACAGGTCAAGGACCCCTGGGCAGATTCAGGCACCTTCTCTGATGGTGGCTGTGCTCACTTGACCCTTCCTGGAGTTACTCGGCGCCAAGCCAAAGGCCCCAAGTGGAGACCCCGTTGTCGGGCCCCACATTGAGGGGCAAGACCTAAGGGCTCGGGCGGGGCTGCATCAGAAATCCCAGAACTGGGACTAGCATCCACAAGGAGAAAACGGTTCAGGGGCAGGCTTAGGGTGCAGCCTCCCCCAAACAGCCTCCTCCTACGACCCCCAGAGTCCACTCTCGGGCTCAAAGCAGCAAGCTCCGAGATGAAGCCTGGCTGCCCGCTCAGCCACAGAGGGGCCGCCGGCTTGTGCCACCCCGGCGGCCAGACCGAGCAGGTTCCTCTCTCCGCTCGGCAGCGGTAACCCCCAGCCGCAATGCGCCCCTGTAACCACATGGGGGCCCCACGCCAGGGCTCTCGCTGGGCGGTCGCGTTTACGGATTGAATTTCTCCCCCCCTTCTTGTTTAAAAAGGCTATTGTTGCTTCACCAAAAAGGAAAGAAAACAAAAGACCTGAATCGAAAGAAGTTAAAGATAAACAATGGTCAGTGTCCCCGCTGCTAGTCAGAGAGAGCCAGTGACATCACGCCACTATATGAGGGAGCGCGTAAATACGGGGGAGGGGGCTCCCAAGCAACACTGGGGTCGCCCCGGGCAGACAACTCTTGGACTCACAACAGCTCCCCATACCAAGGTCTTTCTGAACTAACTGTAACCGCTGGCCTGTGTCCGATGCCCTCCGCATCAACAGACGTCGTTCCGGTCACCCGCGACCGCAAGTTCCAGGCGGGCGCTACCCGGGCTTGCCGAGCGATGGTGAACGGGGGCTTGATCCCCTCTCACAGCAAACCCTGGCGCGAGCCACAGCGGTCCCGAGCAGGCGG